CCTGCTGACTCCGCTCCGCCCCACCCCCAGCTATTCTGGGACAATGGAGGCAGCAGATGGCCCAAGTCCTGCTCCCTCCACCGGCCCTTAGGCTCTGGGAACAGCCCTCAAATCAGCTGCTGCTAAAAGCAGGCCTCTGGCTGCCTTCCCCAGGAGGCAGGGAGGACAGAGGCTGTGGGTGGCGCTGGTCCATCCTCCACCATGCTGAGGGCCAGGGGCTGCCCTCACTGGGCTCGCAGCCCACACACCCGGCACTAGGTCAACCCAGAATGAAAGGAGGTTTTGGGAGAGCCCCCACAGCCAGGCTCCACTGCCGTGCTGGGTGACCACAGGCACATGGTGCACCCTCTCTGGGCCTTGGGTTCCTCCCTGGAAAACAAGGGGCTGAGGTTCAGGTGCTCAGGGGTTCCAGATGTCTGAGATACAGATGTGGTTGTAACGAGGTTTCTGATCGTTGGGATGCGTGTGTGTGTGGGGGGGTGTTCAAAGGAGCCCCTGGCCTTGGCTACCTGCGTCAGGGCCCCTCCAGCTCTCAGCATCTCTCTTCCCTATGCTCTCACCCCAGAACCCCACTGTGACCCGACTCCTGGCCAGCGTCACTGGGCACGAAAGGGAGAGGAGACCTGGCCCCCCACCCCTCCCACACCGCGGCACCACGTGCCTGAAATTCACCACGATCTCGTTCATTCATTCAACCAGCCGCTTTAGACCTGCATCTACTCAGCCGTGGAGGTCGAATCACCCCTTTATCTGACACCCAAGACTGACCCTTCAACTCCAAGTCTCGCTCTGCCTTCCCTGCTTCTTCACCCTCTCCCACTCAGGCTCTGGGGCCAGAGAAAGGAGGCACAACTCCAGTATACTAGCACCTCATGCACATACACACTCCCTGTGTGTACATCACACACACACACGTGTGTGACACACAACAGACATCCTTATGCACAGACAGGCGTGGAGGATACATGCCACATACATGCACATGCATGTGTACACTATGGCTGCATATAACAGAAACTGAACCAAGAGAGACAAATACGTATTTATTTTTATTACAGAACCAGATACTGGAAGGAATAGCTGTGGATAATTGTCTTGGTCTTTCTTCATGGTGACAAGGTGACTGCCCCAGATCCAGCCATCACACCCACATTCACAGCAGAAGGATGGACTACGGGGCTGCAGAACCTTGCCCAGAAACCTCTCTACTGGCTTTCCTTAGTCCCTCTGGCCAGAGCAGGGTCACTTGGTAGACCCTAACAGCAATGGAGGCTGGGAAAGTCAGCAAAGGGTCATCGCAATTGGCTGGGATCCATTATGACCCGCCGTCTGAGTCTGAGCTGCTGAACATCCCGATCAAATCTGATCCTGTCAGCGAGGGTGGGGCGGGGAGCTCCTGGAGCACCATGGACAGCAACAGTGTGCCTGCCTCAACCCTGAGTCTCACGGCTATTCCACCCACCGTCCCTCAGTGACTGGGCAGCCAGCCAAGGGACCAGGGGTGGGTGGTCCAGTGCTTGAACCCTAGGGGACAGGCTGAGAGGCCAGAGCCAGGGCAGGGGCCAGACCCCACCCACAGGCCCGTGTCACTCTCTAGAGGCACTAGAACCCCTGACCCCTGCCCTTGTTCAATGCAGCCACCAGAGGCCCACACAGCCTGGAGCCTCTCAGCCATCCCCTGGCCCACGGGTCCCCTGGGCTGTCCAGCTCACCTCCCAGGGCCCTGGGAAGCCTTCAGTGGCAGCTGCCATCCACATCATGGGCTCGCCCACCAGGGGCCCTGGGCGGTGCCTTGGGAGGCAGGGGGCAGCCAGAAGCCTCGGCCCAGACTGCCAGCAGTGCAGGTTCATCAGGCCGCCAGCTGTGGGCACCAGGGTGTGTCCGGGTAGAGGAGACAATGGAGGGAGCGAAACCTGCAGAGAGACCAGAAGGGACAAGATGGTCAGCCCGGCTCCTCCCCTAGCCCCACCGCCACCAGGGAGGCCCCGGCACCATGACGGCTCAGCGCAGGGCTCTCCATCAGCACCAGGGAGGCCCCGGCGCCATGACGCTCAGCGCAGGGCTCTCCATCAGCACTGGTAAGGCGTGTGGCTGGTCCTCCTTGGCAGGGCTGGCCTGCGCTGTGTAGGTTGTCTACCAGCACCCCGGCCTCTATGCACGAGGCTCCAGTGCCACCCTCTGAGCCGTGACAATCAAAACTGTCTCCAGACAGTGCCGAGTGTCCCCAGGGAGGCACAACCATGCCCACTGATTGAGAGCCGGGAGCCCTCAGTGGGCCGGGCCTCAGAGCACACCCCTGCATCCCTAGCTGGCACTCGCCCAGGAGGCAGGGACCTCGACACACTGAAGGCTCCAGGCTTAGAGGACATGAAACATCCGTCCTTACCCTGCAGCCATGCCGCCGCAGCTAACACGCGTCCGCTGATGGCGCGTGCACGCGGACAGCACTGCCTTCCATCCTTCAATAGAGAGGTTTTCACTGTCAGGCATGTGCACTCACCAGAGAGGCAGAGAGACAGAGAGACAGAAAGTGAGAGATTTCACCCCCAGGGGATGGCCACGCCACAATCGCTCCTCCATTCTCTCAGGATCTCGGGCACCATGCACATACACCTGGGTGAGTTTCAAGCCACTGGGTCCATGACTCGAACCATGGTCGACTACATGGGAGTCCGGCGACGTGACCATCATGCCATCTGCTGGTCCCAAGACAGCAACTTTCACCTTGGAATTCTGAAAGTTTTCCCTATATTGAGCCAAAGTCTGTCTCCTTGTAATGTCCAGCCCCGCACAGCCCCGGCCCCCGCAGCCCTCATGGGCTGTGAGCGCTCTGCCCCAGGTCGGGCAGCCCTGCAGGACCTCAGGCCCAGGAGCCTTGGCTCTCCAGGGACCACGTGCTCCAGATAAAGCCAAAGTCCAGCCAGAGCCTACAAAGCCCTTGGGAGGCTCCTGCCACCTGCCCAGTAAATCTGACGCCACCCTCTCCTCTCCACCCCACCCGGTTCCACGAGTGTCCTTCACTGCCGTGGGCAGGGCAGGACCTATCCTCCTGCCACCAGGGCTTGTGGGTGCCCTTGCTCTGCCGGGAGTCCTCTGCCGGCCGCCTCTTCTCCATGCTACCTCCTGGCAGCCCTGTCGCTCCTGTGTGTCACCTCCTCAGAGAGGCCCTCCCTGGCCAGCCCCAGCCAATGTCTCTGTGGCAGCCTACATGCCACTATCTCTCCGTCCTTCCCTAAGCACAGCATGACGACTCCTCCTCCCTCAGATCTCCACCTGGGCACATCTCTGCCCCCCGAGTAGGCCCAGAGCTCACCCCACCCCATGTCTCCCTGAATCCCTGCTCATGCCCAAAGGCAGCATCAGGCCCCTTCCCCAGCTCCCAGACCCTCTGCTTGTCACTGACGAGCCACAGGGTGGGACAGCAGGTGGGGTCAGTCAGAAGGCCAAGGAGGCAGGGGCGCCCTGTGGTTGAAAGGCACAAGCTGCCTGGCATCTGGCGAAGACACTGGGAGGGACCGAGCATCAGTGCTGGGGCCCGGAGCCATGTGCCCCACTCTCCTCCACACCCCCCAACCCCCATCTCCCAGCCCGAGCATGAGCCACAGCCGGCCCATGGGGTGTGCAGAAAGGGAGCCGTCTGTGGCCAGCCAAGACTGCTCTGCACCAAGCGCAGGCCGAGCGGAGTGCCCCCGTCTCCCAGTGGCCGGTTTGGGCAGAACTGGACAGAGCCATTCCAACCCTCCACCCACCTAGAACCATTTACAAGTAACCAAAACAGCTGCCAAGGAGCCCAAACAGGTTAGAAAAAAAGTCCCCACCAGAGCCTGAAGTCACACCGCAGACCACCTCCTGTGCTCTTGAAGCGCCCCAGAGGGGTGGGGCCAGGAGAGCCTTCAGAAACGGGCTGTCGGTCTGTGTGTGTTCAGATGGGAGTCACACAGGGCCACACAGCAAAGCCAGAGGCAGAACGGGGGCTGGAATCACCCAGCTCTGCGCTGTCAGCCACCCGGCCTGCCCACGCCCTCTCCCCACTTCGGACCCCTGGACTCAGCCCCCACTGCCCCATGCCACATTCCAGCCCCAGACCCACCTGGAGGGATCCTCCTCGGGGGAGAAGGGGCCTTGCAGCTTAATGACGTTGAGTTTCCCCTCAAAGACACCGTAGCTGAGGGTAACCTGGGCAGGGAGCAGAGAAGTCAGTGTCGGGGTGCCCCACTGGGACCCCCACAGGGGAGCAGCATTTTGTCAGAAGCAGAGCAGGTACGAGGGTGTCTGGGGAGGTAGAGAGCCTGTCTCCACACCTGAATTCCACTACTGGCCATGGGTGCGTCCCTGGAACCCGCCCACTTCCCAGAGGTACTTGACGGCTCGCAGAGCACTGTGGGGCCCTAATCCTGGGTTTCCTCGACAGTGCAGCTGGTCTGGGAGGCCGGACCCAGAGCTCCTCCTGGGATTCGAACACAGGGAAGGCTCAACAGGGAAGGCTCCATTCTAGACAGCTGCATGCCTAGACTAGAACTGAGGTTTCCTAAGACTTGGGTAGGGCTTCCGCTCTGCCTCGCCATGAGGCCTCAGGACGGTGCCCTCAGCTAAGGGGCTGCCATGTACAGCGATGGAAGACTGGGCTAGGGACCAGCCAGCCAGGTTCAAATCCCCCTCTGCCCTATGCTAGCTGTATGCCACGGTCAGGTCAGCTCCCCGGCCTTCAGTTTCCCAGCTGCAGGGTGGGAACAACACCAGTACTGACCTCAGTGAGTCAGTTAAAGGACGCTAGGCCCTGGCGTAGTGCCTGGCATGGTGGGTGCTCAGGAACTGTTGGGAGCCCTCATTTTACCTGTCCCAAATATGCTCCCCTTTCTTGACTTCAGGCCCCACGGTACCGATGGGACCAACTCCACACCCCAGTTCAGGGTGTGGAGTTGGTCCCATCACCTCTAACTAGGCACTCATAGATGGTCACGGGACCCAAGTCAGGTCTTCAGACTCATCCCGAATGTCAGCCTGGGGCCTCGGGGAAGGAAGAGCTCTTGTCTGATGGTGCAGAAGCCAAGGGCCACCAGCTTGCCTGTATGAGGGTGAGCCTGCAAGGCTGAGGCCGGTGTTGGGGAGCAGACAGAGGTGCCGGAGCCCAGGGAGGAGAGGGGGCAGAGCCCTGGGAGGAGAGAGGAATGAGCCCTGGGAGGAGAGAGGACCGAGTCCTGGGAGGAGAGGGGACAGAGCCCTGGGAGGGGAGAGGAACGAGCCCTGGGAGGAGAGAGGACCGAGTCCTGGGAGGAGAGGGGACAGAGCCCTGGGAGGGGAGAGGAACGAGCCCTGGGAGGAGAGAGGACCGAGTCCTGGGAGGAGAGGGGACAGAGCCCTGGGAGGGGAGAGGAACGAGCCCTGGGAGGAGAGGGGACAGAACCCTGGGAGAGAGAAGCAGAGCCCTAGGAGGAAAGGGGACAGAGCCCTGGGAGGAGAGAGGACAGAGCCCTGGGAGGAGAGAGGACAGAGCCCAGGGAGGAGAGGGGACAGAGCCCTGGGAGGAGAAGGGACTGAGCCCAGGCAGAAGAGAGGAATGAGCCCTGGGAGGAGAGAGGAACGAGTCCTGGGAGGAGAGGGGACTGAGCTCTAGGAGGAGAGGGGACAGAGCCCTGGGAGGAGAAGGGACAGAGCCCTGGGAGGAGAGAGGACAGAGCCCTGGGAGGAGAGAGGACAGAGCCCTGGGAGGAGAGGGGACAGAGCCCTGGGAGGAGAGAGGAACGAGCCCTGGGAGGAGAGGGAACCGAGTCCCGAGAGGAGGGGGCACAGAGCCCCAGGAGGAGAGGGACAGAGCCCAGGGACCAGAGGAGATGGAGCCCTGGGAGGAGAGGGGACAGAACCCTGGGAGAGAGAAGCAGAGCCCTAGGAGGGTGCCACCTGTGCTCTGAGTCCCAGCCGCACCTCACAGGCCAGCCCTCAGCTCCCAACGTGGGAGCTAACCATGCGCTCCATTTTCGTATAGCCAGGCCACACGTAGTGCCGGTCACCGGCACCTGAAGGCCCTGCCTCACACTGCTGGGCAGAAGATGAGGCCCGTGGCCAGGACCTCACAGAGGTGGGGGGCAGCCTCTGCAGGCCAGCAGTCTGACCTGTGCAGCCACTCCCTGCCAGGTGGCCCGATGGGGCCCACATCTCCCAGGCCTAGCAGCAAGCCTGAACATCCCCCTTAAAGAGCTGTGCCTTCCCCGCAGCAGGGCTAGAAGGAAGAGAGCAGGCAGGGCAGGCCAGCTTTGATGGAGGTCATCCACAAGAGAAGCTGGAGAGGCCTGGCCTGGCCCGGCCCTGAAGGAGAGGTGTGGGAGGGTGGGGCCTGCAGAGCAGAGCTGGTGGGAGGCAGCAGGTGGGGAGCAGGCCAGTGGGGACCCAAGAACAAGCTTCCTCTCGCTCATCTGAGCATGTCTTCATGGCTGGCACCTGGAGACTAAGTTCGGGAGAACTGAGTCACTGGTGCCCTTAGGGGGCCCTTTGCCATCCTGGGCCTCGGTTTCCCCATCCACAGGGGGTAGCCAAGCCCCGTAATCTAGAATTCCAGAGTAACCTCAAAAGAGGATTTGAGGAGATCCTGGGTTCCTTGGGGGGACCCCAACCCCATGGCCACCTGCACCCAGGCCGGCTCACCTGCTCCGGGAGCTGGGCAACCCGCAGCAGCTGCAGGGTCTCGAGGTGGGAGTGGAAGAGGGTGCTGGGCTGCAGGCGGCCGCCCAGCTTGCACTCCACGATGTAGCCCACGGTACAGTCGTCGGGAAGGCGGATGAGAGCCGAGGTGCGCACGAAGCGGGAGCCGCTGAGGACGGAGAGGGCTGTGGTCGGCAGCATAGCCAGGGCCCCCCGCCTCCCAGCAGGCCTCCGCCCTGCCTCCCCTATATGACCCCAGGCGAGGCCTGCACCCAGGATGCCTGGGTCCCTTCCTCTGTGGAGACCATGGCCCTGCCTTCAAGGGCAGTCGTGAGGATCAAAGGGGGCGATGGTGAGGTGAACTCCTCTGACTACACCCTTCTCTCCCTTTCTTTTCCTTCTTTCGCTCACTCATCTGCTCAGGGTAGGGCTTGAGACTCTACCTGCCTCCAGGTACTGTGCTGAGCACACGGAGGTGAGAGAGGCCCCCGCCCTCTGCTGCAGTCCCCATCAGAGCAGGGAGAAAGACCTGGCGGCTCATTCAGAGAAAGACTGGCACTAATTCAGCGAGAAATGCCTGGCCTAGGTGGGCAGAGGGGAGTGAGGTGGGCTTCCCAGAGGAGGTGGCAGGTTTGAGATAGAATCTATTTATTTATTTATTTATTTATTTTGGAGAGGTTTTTGCTATAGGGCATGTGTGCTCACCAGACAGACAGAGAGAGACAGAGAGACAGAAAGCGAGAAATCACCCCCCAGGGGGGATGGCCACGCCACAATCCCTTCTCCTCCATTCTCCTCTCAGGATCTTGGGCACGCACGCACATGCGCCTGGCAAGAGTTTAAGTCGCTGGGTCCGGGACTCGAACCACAGTCGACTATGTGCAAGTCCAGCGACACAGCCATTACGCTAACTGCTGGTCCCAAATCTTTTTTTTATTTTTTGAGAGAGACTTTCGCTATAGGGTGAGTGCACTCACTGGAGAGACAGAGAGAGACAGGAAGCAGAAATGACCCCCTGGGGAGATGGCCACACCACAGTCCCTTCTCCTCCATTCTCCTCTTGGGATTTTGGGTGCACACGTGCGCACACACACACTCACCCTGGCGTGAGTTTAAACCCGCTGGGCCCAGGACTCGAACTGCAGTCAACTGCATAGGAGTCCAGTGACATAACCATTACGCCATCTGCTGGTCCCAAGATGGAATCTTAGAGGACAAGCTGGAAGCAGCCAGGCTTGAGGAAGGGGAGGAGCAGTGTTCCAGGCAAGGTCATGGCCAGTCTGTGCATCCCATCACTGCTCTACCCAGGGCCCTGGCTGAGGGGGAGCAGGTGCCAAAATCCAGCGTGTGTTCCCCACATTGTGTGCCCCAGAGCTGCGCCTGCAAGGCTGTGCTATGGGTGCCTTTTCTGAAGGTAACGCAGGAAACAGGGTGGCCACACAGCACGGTAGCTAAGCCCCATGCAGAAGATGGGCCCCACACGGCCGACAAGGCAGGACCACTGTTTGGGTCCTGGCCCCAAAGATGAAACACACACAGGGGGTGTGTGCCTGGGATCCAGGTGGACTGGAGAAAGGCGATCGTATTACCACCAAGCCCTGCGGACACACACTCTGTGCGTGCGTGTGTCTGTCATGCACACACACACACACGCTTTCTGGCACTTATAAAATATAGAGGTGAAAGGATGCCCAGATGGGCCAGAACCGGCACAGGGATGACCCTGGTCCCATGTACACATCTGCTATAGACACGCCCTGGGGTGCCATGCCTGCCCCCACCCCAGCACGGATCCCCCACAGGACTGCTATGACGAATTTTCCTCCAAACACTCGTGCACTGAAATTGGTTGTGACAGGATGAAGAGGGAGAAACTTAAACTGACTACAGCGTTATAACGGCCTGGCCCCGTGGCTGGTGTGATGGTTAAGGCACTGGACTCCCGTGTGGATGACTGCGGTTGGAGTTCTGGACCCGGCAGCTTGAAAATCATGCTGGGAGCATGTGCATGCATGCCCAAAATCCCAGGAGGAAAATAGAGGAGAAGGGATTGCAGCCTGGCCATTCCCCCGGG